CACCTGACGTGACGCTGCGGCTGTGATTGGTTCGGCTCTGCGCTAGTTAATTTGGATTGGCTGTTCTTCTTCTTTTCTTTTTTTTTAAGAGGACAAGCGAGATGAGGGTTATCGCAATAGTTTAACTTTTCTATCGAGAAAAAGTTATTTCGCAATACATATCATTATCGTTCTATCGCCCAGCTCTAATTCAAACTTTTTGGAATGAAGTTTAAGTAATAAGTTACTTAAGTGGCAGGTAATTTCAGACTGACATAAGTCATTTCAGTCTGCATGCATCAAGACCCTTCAGATTCATACAATTTTGTTTTTAACGTTTTCTGTAATAATTATTTTATTATTTGATTTTGATAATTTAGTTGATAATTATCCCATGATCTCTTGGGCGTGAGGCTCACCTCGTGCTCTGACATCTCCACACCTGTCTGCGTGGCCACGTCCCGGTGGCTCTTCTGGATGAAGTTGAGGGCCAGGCTTGGGTCCGGGTGGATGTCCACCAGCAGCTCAGCAGGCGAATCCGAAAACTGACACTGACGGCCAAACTCGCAGCGGTTCTTGGAGTAAACATAAGTGATTTCCATGCTGCCATGAAAACACAGAAGAGCCTGCTCTGTACTTGATTCTCTTAAGTACAGAAGTGGGAAGTGACGAAATACAAATATTTTGTTACTGTACTTACTTATAGTAACTTACTTAATGTGGCCGGGGTGTGTGATCTTTCTTCCCCTTCTGTGTATTTAGTAACGGTGGAGCCGGAGGAGCGGATTGGTTGCAGCAGCTAAGGAGTGCCTGTTTCCTGCGTCTGAGTACTGAAAACAACAGTATCAGCTGCTGAGTATTCAATAAAAGCCACACTGAGAACCCAAAGATTGTGTGTGTTGGGTCGATTTCTTCACACTTTAAATTTAAATTTAAAGACATCTGTATTTTACTTGAGTAGTTTTTTTCTCACTACTTTTTACTCTTACTCCATACATTTTTAAACAAATATTTGTACTTTCTGCTCCTTACATTTTCAAAGAGGCCTCTTTTGTTTTAATGCATTTTGGAGGAGTTATTATTTCACGTTACTATTAGCCTCCAAAAATCGTATTATTATGCAGCAGCCTATATTATAGGATAATGAGAGATGATTTCTGCCAAAGTAAAGGGTTAAAGTGGAGCGGTGTTTTGTTGTTGTTTGTTTCTTCATTTTGTTTTTGCACTACACCAGAACGGAAGTGCAGGTAATAATAATAATAAT